TGGAAACAATAAACAATGCACACTGCAACCGTTGCAAGAGGGGCGGCCGTCGGGGCCGCCGGCGGCCGTCGGGGCCGTCGGGCCAAGACATGTGGGATCCAGCGCGTATGGAGGTAGCATGTCTGTTTTCCTTTTTCCCCGACCTGGCGGAGGGGTTCCCGTTCAGTGTCCCCCTGGGGGGGTCTGGGGGGGGACCCCCTGGGACATGGCCCCGGCGACGGGCGGAACGCCTGCAGAAGACGGCGGAAGACGGCACCACGCGGCCCCATTTCTGCAGACGCGCTTCCGGGAGGCACGGACGGCCCCAAGAAGGCTTCGAGTCGCCGAAAGATTGGCCAAAGACGCCCCAGATGGGTTCAAGATGGCCCACGAGGCCGCCAAGACACCACAAGAGGCCTCCAAGAAGCCGCCCAAAAGAGCCCCACAAGGCCAAACTCGCTCATTTAACGTGGGTTTTTGACAGATTTTTGCCTTCGCGCCATTTCGGCTTCCCGACGCTCCAAGACGGCCCAAGAGGCCTCCAAGACTGCCCCAAGACCGCCCAAGAAGCCCCCAAGAGGGCCCAAGACGGCCCAAGAGAGGCCCAAGACGGCCCAAGAGGCGCCCAAGACGGCCCGAAAGAGCCCCAAGACGGCTCCAAGAGAGGCCCATACAGTAGGCTACCTTACCAGACAGCCTACCACGCAGTGACATTTCGAGTTCTCCGCCCAAAGAGCCCCCCAGGAGCCCCCCAGGAGCCCAAGAGGTCCCCAGGAGACCCCCAACAGGCCCCCAAGAGGCCCCAAGAGGCCTCGAGAGGCTTCCAGCAAGGCCCCAGAAACGCCCAAGAGAGCACTAGGACTGCCCCAACAAGACCCGGGGACGGCTGGAGGCGCCTCGACAAACCTTCACAGCGTCTAACGGACAACGCGGGAACCAACGTCATGCGCGCTGTAGGCATCCTCTTCTTTGCTGTTCTGTTTTCTCGCAAATCACGCCCACTTGTCCTCCAAGGTCGGGGTTCGTGGCAATATCAGGTTTCCTTTGCCTGGTCACTGATTGAAATCCGAAGACACTGTAGACACTGTAGATTGTACATTCCTTACTTCCAAACTTTAAAGCGAGCGGCCTCGACTTAACTTCACCTCTAGGCCTTTCGGCCCCGAAGATTCCTTTTCGCCCCCCGCCCCTGCATGGCCCGGCCCCGAGGCCGCCCTCCGGAAAAGCATCGCCATCGTGCGCCCGGACCTCGCTGGCACGGAGGCCGGTGATTCGCAGATGGCTCTGCGCTGTGCTTTCCGCACCCAGAATCTTCAGACCCTCGTCCACTTGGGGTACCTCTCCGCAGACGTGGTCGTTTCCAGCGCAGAGGAGGTGCCGGAGGCGAACCGGCGAGCCTGCTTCTGCTGCCGTCTTTGCATCTCTGTTTCTCTGTATTCTGTCGCTGTTTCTGTCTCTCTGTCTCTGTCTGTCTGTCTCTCGCTCTCTCTCTCTCTCTCTCTCTCTCTCTTTCTCTCTTTCTCTCTTTTTCTCTTTCTCTCTCTCTCTCTCTCGCGCGCCCTTTCAATTTTCAATCTCAGTTCTGAGTTCGCAGTGTCTCAGTTCTCAGTCGTTCGTCATTAGTCATTATAGTCATTGGCCAGCCACTAGCTAGTCATTCGATCCGCTTGTTCGTTGCCCACGCCCGTTTTCCCGGAAAGGGCATGGGCCCAGGGTTCTCTTTCAGTATGTAAACATAGTCCCCCGTGCCCAATTTGAAGGAGGCCGGCGAAATTTTTCCCTGATAAATATCGAGGTCGAAGGAGGCCGGCGAAGTTATGTTTGAGGATGTCTCGAGCGAAACGCTTGTTTTTTTTTTATTTTAGAATTTGTTGAGGATGTCTCGAGCGAGACGCTGGTTTTGCAGAGTTGGGGATGTCTCGAGCGAAACGCTTGGTTTCAGAACTTGTTGAGGATGTCTCGAGCGACATGCTGGTTTTGCAGAGCCGACCGCGACGCGGAAAAGCGCCCCGCGCGCAGGAATTTCGATGATGTCTCGACTACTTCGTTTGTTGTTGTACGAGTTCCTGGAAATTTTGGCAGGATGTCTCGAGCGGAAATGCACGACCCCACCCTAGCACGACCATACCCCAGCACGACACACCCCAGCACGACCAGACCCCAGCACGACCCCACCCCAGCACGCCCCCACCCAGCACGACCATACCCCAGCACGACCACACCCCAGCAGACCGACCCAGCACGACCCGACCCAGCACAGGCCACACCCCCAGCACGACCACACCCCAGCACGACCTCACCACAGCACGACCACACCCCAGCACGACCACGCCCCAGCACGACCACGCCCCAGCACGACCACGCCAGCACACACCCCCCAGCACGACCACCCCCCCAGCACGACCACCCCCAGCACGACCACCCCCCAGCACGACCACACCCCAGCACGACCACACCCAGCACGACCAACCAGTCGCACCCCCGTGGAATGTTTCGTGGCGTGTCTGGTTGAGTGGTTGCCTGTTCGTGGGGTGTCTCGTGGAATGTTTCACGGGGTGTCTCGTGGGATGTTTCGCGGGGTGTCTCGTGGGATGTTTCGTGAGATGTCGCCCAGTTGGGTATCGTGAAAACGTGACCACGCTGCACATGTTTTTATCCCTTTCCGGGTTCGTGGGTCCATCATGTTGTTGCGCCGGCCAGGCGAACGCTGCAGCCTTTGCATTTTACAACATGTTCTGCGACCACGATTGGGCCAGCGACCACGTGGTTATCTACACGGATAGCCCAGCCTTGCCGCAGCCAGCGAGCGATGAACAGATTAAGAGATGTGCTGTCGGAGTTGCGAAGAAGATGTTGACCCCCGCAAAACCGCCGAGGCCTGTTTCTGCCCGCTGGACTGGCCTCGGGGCGGCGGCCCGGTTCTTCCTCCTGTTGATTATCTTTCACAAGTTTGCCATGACAATGTGCAATCCGCGGAAGACCAGGGCAGGGCCTGGGCATCGGGGGGATGACGACGAAAACCAAGCAGAGGGAGTGGCCATAGATAACTCGATACGCCAGAAAAAGTTCGCCGACTTCCTGAACCATCCGGCCTCCGCTGCCCGACTGTGGGGGCTTGTTGTTTGGAACAGCCCCATCCGACGCATCTTGCATTACGTATTCCGCCAATGCCAATTGGAGGTGGAGGCCGATGCGGCCGACACAATCAAGAAACGTTATCTGTTCCAGCAGGATTTACCATACCCGGACACAGATTATGGGTACTTGGAATGGTGCACTGGGCTCATAACATCAGACTGCCTGGACGCCTTGGCCAACGTGCTCTTGGAAGTCGACCGCCAACGAGGCCCCCCTACAGTGCCGCATGGTAGATTCTGAAAGGCTCACGCAACATCCGCCAAACAAGTCAGTTCCCCGGGGCCCCCGGGGGCCCGGGGCCCCTGGAACAATTTCGGGGGCGCGGCGGGCCCAGAGATGCCAGGCGCCAAAGCCAAAGGCCAAAGGCAAACGGCAAAGGGGCTGAAATCGGCTCAAGGGGCCAAGGGCCCAGGGTAACCGGCAACCTGGGCCCCCCCGGAATTGGAGCTCCCCATGCCCAAGACTAGACCCAAGAGCCAAGAGGATGGCGAGAGACCAGAGACCCCGCCTCGCGAGTGCCAGATAGTTCCCCCCCCCCCCCTGCCGCCCACGCCCCTCCCGTCGCCCGCCCCCGCCCCCGCCCTCCACTCTCCAATTCCAAGATTCAAGGCTCAAAGCCATTGCGTGCAAATTGCACTTGAAAATTGCGAATCGAAACCTCGGCAAGGGGCGAGGGGCGCTTGCAAAGACAAGGGGCGGGGCAAGGGGATCAGGGGGCAAGGGGCAAGGGCAAGGGCGACAAGGGGGGGGGTCTCACGCGCCAGTGCCCCGAATGGGCTAGCGAATTAATTTTGGGTAAATGCTCAGCGGAAGAGGTGAACCTACTCGCACGCCGCATGTGCGTAGCAGGTGCGACATCTGTGTTCGATCGATTGCACCCTTCGACGCCGAGCGAACGCATTTTCGGCGCAGCTGCGCCTGGGAGACCTGATGACCAAGTACGCCCCGTTGTGAAAGAGTTCTTGTGCACCCCCACTGCCGACCTGACGCCCTTCATGGCTGCCATGCGGAGTCTCGCGGCAGGACCGGCCGCGGGGGGGTCCAGGGCCAGGGCCTAGTATCTAGAACCTATGGCCGCCAGGGTCGCTAGCCGCTAGTGGTTAGTGTCTTGCGTCTTGTCTAGTGTCTATAATGTCAATTGAACGATTCCAATGTCCAATGTCCAATGTCTAGTCTTCTAATCTAATGTCGAGCGTCTAGTGTCTAGTTGCAGCAGGGCTGTCAAAGATCAGAGCCAGGGCCGCTGCGCGCGTGCTACATAGGTTGCTTCCCCGAGCCCCGTGGTCAAAGGTCCAAGCCCAAGCCCCGGACCCCGGGGCCTGGGCCCCAAGCCCGGGCCCAAGCTTTCCTCTGCCGCCCCCCCCCAGGCCGCAGCCCACCCTCTCTTCCCACCCTCGAGCCTCGAGCCCCCCCCCATCCCCTCCAAGCTCCAAGCCTTGGGGCCTTGGCCGCGGGCTTCGGGCCTTCCTCTCTGCAGCCTCTGCCCCGCCCCGAGCCCCCCCCTCCAGGACCTGGCCCTGCGCGCCCGGATGATCCGCTCCTCGATGCGGTCGTGACCCAGTTCATTGATAAAGTGCTCCCTAAAATTCGTGCTGTTGGTAAGCGTGTGAGGCTGGCCATATTTCATGTCGAGTGCGTTCACGGCGACATGAAAAAAGTTGCCGGCAGCAGCCCTGGAGCCCCCATCGATTGCATCACCCTCTCGGCCTTCAACAATCTCGAGAGGGCGAAATCCTACCATAGGCACAGGTTGGGTTTCAGATCTTTGAAGGACGTGGACAGAAAGGCTCGGTCGCATCGGCGCACGTCGGGACAGGGAGCTCGCGCAGTCAAAAAAGCTTTGACTAGCACCAGCACGCAAACAACCAAGACCCGGAGAGTTGGGAAAAGAATGAACGGTTACCTCTTGTTCCGATCGGAGAAGTTCGAAGGCTTTAAGCAGGCGTACCCCAATCTCCATCGTTTCGTTGGGGTCCCGAGGTTCGAGGCCAAGATCAAAGTCGATTGGGCGCGGCAGTCCCCCGAGTCGAAGCGGGCCTACAGTGTTCGGAGTGTTGCTATGAATTTGGATTCAAATGCGGGTGGACCGCCGCTTCCGCCTCGGCCTAGTGGGGGTGCCCGTCGGAAGCGCAGGGCCCAGGGCCTGCCTGGCGGTGCCCAGGCTGCCCCCCCAGCGCTGGCTGCGCAGGCGGCGCCGCCGGCGCCCGCAGCCGCAGCGCCAGCGCCTGCGCCGGAGGCGACGCGGCCGCGGAGAACGGGATGGGGGCTCGGGAGCGCGGAGGACCCCAACATACCGCTCACTCCCGAAATGCTGATGCGCGCCAGCGAGGAGTATGGCCTGTTCAGGAGCAGCGCCCGCGATAATGCCATGCCAGAGACCGGCTCGGTGATGTGTGGCTCCAGAGAACTTCGTGAACACATGTTTCGTCTTGCAGCCCAGTTTGTTCCGCCTGGCCCCGACTTTGGCCTGTCCAAGGCCGCGAAAGGAGAGGAGGTCCCCGGGGCCCGGGCGGGCAAACGGCAAACGCGGGATAGCGAGACACGCCGCGCTCTTGCACGGTGCCCAGCCCCCCTTCCCAGAGCCCAGAGGCAAAACTTAAATTTTTAAATTTAATTAAGCCCCCCCCCCAAGATTCAATATTCAAACAGATTGCGCCATCAAGAAATCTGGCCCGGCTGCCCATGCGAAACCGCCCCCCCTGGTGGATCCCCCCGGGGCCAGTGGCAGCGAAATTTGAAATTTTAATTTGATTTTGACTTTTGATTTTGAAACGCCCTGAACCCCGGGGCCCCAGGGGCGGGGCCCACCCAGGGGGGCCAGGTTCATTGTTCACGGTTCACGATTCACGATTGTTCCCAATCATCCTGTGGTGTTGGGTCCTCGTTTTGAAGAGACGGTGCCCCCCGCTTACTCCTTCCTCTCCCCTCCACCCCTCCTACCCCGTCCTGACGTTTCGTCGCTATCAGCAATCGTCTACTGTTTTTCGCCATACCCCTCACACGCTTTGTCCGCGCGGCCCCATAGGAGAGATCCACACGTCAACTGTCACAGTGGCGCAACTCGCATGCGCCGCCGCCACGCCCCATTTTGCACACCCCTCACCGTTTCGATGGCCCCATAGGAGCTCCACGAAATTCCCCTGGCGAGGAACTCGCATGGCGCCTCCGCCCCCATTTCCGTGGCGCACCCCTCGCGCTTCGATGGCCCTAGGGAAGCTCCAACTAAGGCCCCAGTGCGAAAACTCGCACCTTGGCGCCGCCGCCCACAGTTTTGGGCACACCCATCACACTTTTCATGGCCCCATAGGGGAACTCCACCCCAGGTCCGGTGGCGGAACACTTCCGCATGGCACCGCCGCCCCTAGTTTGGCACCACCCCTCACACCGTTTCGTGGCCCCATAGGGAGCTCCACCTAAGGTCCCAGTGGCGGAACTCGCATGGCGCCGCCGCCCCATTTTGGCACACCCCTCACACGTTTCGTGGCCCCATAGGGAGCTCCACCGAAAGTCCCCGTGGCGGAACTCGCATGGCGCCGCCGCCCCATTTTGGCACACCCCTCACACGTTTCGTGGCCCCATAGGGAGCTCCACCTAAGGTCACAGTGGCGGAACTCCCATGGCGGCGCCGCCCCATGTGGCACACCCCTTAAAGGACCAGGATGAAGGATGAGGACGAAGAGGAGGAGGAGGAGGAAGAGGAGGAGGAGGAGGAGGAGGAAGAGGAGGAGGAGGAGGAGGAGGAGCTGGAGGAGGAGGAGGAGGAGGACGAGGAGGACGAGGAGGACGAGGAGGACGAGGACGGGGACGAGGACGAGGACGAGAAGGACGACTCGTCGTCGTTACCGTCGTCGTCGTCGTCCTCCTCTTCCTCGTCGTCGTCGTACTCGTCGTCGTACTCTTCGTCGTACCCGTCGTCGTCGTCGTCCTCCTCCTCGTCGTCGTACTCGTCGTCGTACTTCACATACGTAGGGAGCGCCATATAAGGTCCCAGTGGTGCAGCCCGCATGGCGCCGCCGCCCCATTTTGGCACACCCGCCTGGTCGGAGGTGAATGGCTAGGGCCTTTCAATTTTCGGTACGAGGTGAGTCGCTCGGGCCCCACAGTTCTCGGTCGAAGGTGAATCGCTGGGGCCCCTCATTTCTGGGTCGGAGGTGAATCGTGCGGGCCCCATCGGTTCTCGGTCGGGGGTGAGTCGCTCGGGCCCCTCAGTTCTCGGTCGGAGGTAAGTCGTTCGGGCCCCTCAGTTCTCGGTCAGAGGTGAGTCGCTCGGGCCCCTCTCTTCTTGGTCGGAGGTGAGTCGTTCGGACCCATCGCATCTCGGTCGGAGGTGAGTCGTATGGGCCCCTCAGTTTTCGGTCGGAGATGAGTTGTACGGACCCCTCAGTTCTGGGTCGGGGGTGAGTCAATCGGGCCCTTCAGTTCTCGGTCGGAGGTGAATCGTTCGGGCCCCTCAGTTCCCGGTCAGATGTGAGTCGCTCGGACCCATCGCATCTCCGTCGGAGGTGAGTCGTTCGGGCCCCTACGTGTTGTGGCCCCATGGCCCATCGGGAGTTCCACCGAAGACGATCTCACAACTGCGGCTCTCACAACTGCGGCGCTCAAAATTGCACGGGCTGGTCATCGTAATCATCACCACTATCCGCTCGCACGTAGCGCGGCCCCATAAAGGAGGCTTCACCCCACTGGCAGCGCCCGCGTGGCGACAGCGCACAATTTCGGCACACGCCTCACACACACGTTTGGTGGCCCCATGAAGGGGGCTGGAATTCAGGCCTCAGTGGCAGCGCCCGCATGGCGGCCCCTCCCCATGTCGGCACACCCTTCACACGCTTCGTGGCCCCATGAGGAGATCCACCGAAGGCGATACTAACAACGACTGTATTTACATCTGCGTATGGTTGGGCCCTTCGCCAAGCGAATTTTTCCGTGCCCCGGGGCGGCAGAGGGCAGACAGACAGAGGGCAGAGGCCGTTGTGGTGGCCCTGGCCACCGGCCCCCGCCCCTTCCTCTCCGACCCCCTCTCCCGAGGCCCTTGCCCCCGCCACCGCAGTGGGGTCCCTGGGGGTTTTCTCGCTACCCGGAAGCGCCGGGTGGGTGCCTGCCGAGGCCAAGTCGCCAGGACTGGCAGACGGCAGCGCCGCAGCGCCTCCTTTCTCCCCCCCCCCTTCCTGCCTTTCTCCACCCTGCCGCCGCGCCGCCTCGAGGTCTTCGGCAAGACGCTCCTGATGCACAAGAGCTTGTGGATCCTCCTGAGCTCTCGGGGGAAAGCGCCAGGCCCACTCGGGTTTACCACCAACCTCCTGAAGAGCGCCGATTCCCTGGTCTTGGTCAAAGGGCACGTCGACCGCACCATCCCAGGCACTGCTGACCAAGTGCCTGTCATACAGGCCTGCGGGCGGCCAGCAGCTGGCCCCTCCCGTCCCCCCTTAGAGCTTTGAGCTTAATTAGAGAGACTAGAGATTTGAGCTTCAAAAAGTTTAGAGCCCAGACGCTAGACTTACTGACCTGCCGACCTGCTGCTACCAAACCACCGACCAAACGAACTACCGACCAACCGACCTACTGACCTACTGACATATTGTCATATAGTATAGGCCTACAGACTACAGACCTCATGACCTACCGACCTGCCATCGTACTGACCGACTGACCTACCGACCTACCCAGTCACCGACTGACCGGCTTACTTACTGACACATTGACCTAGCCAGCCACCTACTGGCCTGCCGACCCCGCCCATACTGTCGTACTGATCTACAGACTGACTGACCAACCGATTTCCCGACCTACCGAACTCCTTACCAACCCACCGACTAACTAATTGACCGGCTGACCTTCTAACCGACTTTTTCACCGACCTAGCGACGTACTGAAATACAGTCCTTCCAACCTACCGACCCACCAACCGGCCTTCCCATTAACTGACTGACTGGCTGACTGGCTGGCTGGCTGCCTGGCTGGCTGGCTGACTGACTGACTGACTGACTGACTGACTGACTGACTGACTGAGTTACCGACCCACCGACCGACCGACAATTCGGCACACCCTCACGCGATTCGCGGCCCCATATGGGAGCCCCGCCGAAGGCCCCAATGGGGCCGCTCGCATGCGTCACCCACAAACAATTGGCGGCGCCCACACGCGTCCCCGCCGCCCTCCCAACGCACCGCTCACGTGTTTCGCGCCCCCATTGGCTATAGGGAGCTCCGCCGCATGCCCCAGCGGCGGCGCTCACGTGCGTCGTCGCCGCCGACGTGGGCACGCGGCATTCCCCGCGCACGTTTCGCGGCCCCGAAGAGAGCTCCACCGAAAGCCCCGGCGGCACCCATCTCGGTGCACCCCTCGCGCGCTCCGTGGTCACATGGGGAGTTCCGCCGAAGATGATACCCACAACTTCGGCACTCACAATTGCGTATGGCTGGGTTCTTCGCCAGGCTATTTGTTGTAGCTTGGCGCATCTGGGTGTCCAGCGTCCCGAGCCCCTGGACCTATCCCATCGGCTGCGCCTCGTCGAGGGCTGGGAGCCCTTGGCGCGTCGCCATCGCCGCCCCTGGATATTCTCGGAAACGTTGAATCGCGAACGACACCCCTAAGCTAAACACCGAACCCCAAATCCAGACTTCGATTTGCGTTTTGCGTTTTGCGCTTTGGAAGCTTTCCCAATTGTCCGCCCCTGGGCCCTGGGCCCCCGGGCCCTAGCCCTCCAGGTCCCGGGCCCCGGGCCCCCAACCCAGGCAGGGTTCCATGGCTGTTTTTTCGCTTGGCTTGTGCATGGATTCTTTCTGCACCGAAGATGTTCCTCATGGTGGGCGCGGCCAACCTCAAGCCGGGGGCGCAGCGCTGCGTCTTCTGTCGTTGCCTGCCGGCCACTTGGCGGGACGGCGCGGTCCATCTCGCCCCTGAGGTTGGGCGGAGCACCCGCCAGGAGGCGAGGGACATCGCGAAACATCTTCCGCATAATCTCCGCATGGCGACTGAGGGTGAGCAAGCGCTCTTTACGGCCATAGTCCACAACTCCCCTTTTTCCCGGAAAGGGCTTTGGCCCAAGGTTCTCTTTTAGTATGTAAACATAGTCCCCCGTGCCCAATTTGAAGGAGGCCGGCGGATTGATTTTCTTTTGCGATAAATTATCGAGGTCGAGGAAGCGGCGGATTAAAATTTGAGGATGTCTCAGGCGAAACGCTTGTTTTTGAAATCCCGATCGATAAATCACAAGGTGCGGGACACCTCAGCACGACCACGCCCCAGCACGACCACGCCCCAGCACGACCACGCCCCAGCACGGACCCAAACCCGCCAGGCAGCACACAAGACCCCACCCCAGCACGACCACGCCCCAGCACGACCACACCCCAGCACGACCACACCCCAGCACGACCACACCCCAGCACGACCCCACCCCAGCACGAGCCCACCCCAGCACGACCACACCCCAGCACGACCACACCCCAGCACGACCACACCCAAGCACGACCACACCCCAGCACGACCACGCCCCAGCACGACCACTCCCCAGCACGACCCCGCCCCAGCACGAGCCCACCCCAGCACGACCACACCCCAGCACGACCACACCACAGCGCGACCCCACCCAAGCACGACCCCACCCCAGCAAGACCACACCCCAGCACGACCACACCCCAGCACGACCTCACCACAGCGCGACCTCACCACAGCACGACCACACCCCAGCACGACCACGCCCCAGAACGACCACGCCCCAGCACGACCACCCCCCAGCACGGCCACCCCATCAGCACGACCACCCCCCAGCACGACCACCCCCCAGCACGACCACACCCCAGCACGACCACACCCCAGCACGACCACTCCTCAGCACGACCACACCCCAGCACGACCACACCACAGCACGACCACACCCAGTCGCACTCCCGTGGAAAGTTTCGTGGGGTGTCTCGTGGAATGACCTAGTACGTCCTGTAAGCGATGGGCTTCCGTGATGGTGTTGCCTGTTCGGCTCCCTATGTACTCGTGGAATGTTTAGCAGGGGTGTCGCTGGGAATGTTTAGTCCGGAGGTGTATTTACTTTCTTTCTTGTTTTTCCTTATCTCTTATAACTAGTCAATAATAGCTCTCGTGGAATGTTTAGTGAGGTTCTCGTGGCATGGTTCGCGGGGCGTGATGGGGTCTCGGGGATGTTTTTTTTATTCTTTTCCTATTTTTTTTTCTTCTTTTATCCTTCCTTTGAGGGTTTTTTTTTCTCCTTGCTTGAGGTTGTTCGCCCAGATTGGGTACACACATCGTGAAAACGTGACCGTGCTCCACATGTCTATATCCCTTTCCGGGTTCGTGGGTCCATCATGTTCCGCCCCCTTGGCCCGCGGTCCGCGCCCCCGCATTGCCCGCGTTGCAAAGCCCAACAAGTAATGCATAAACCATAAACTAGCAACAAGCATATAGCAAATAACAAATATGTCACGCGCCCTTTATCCCCCCCCCTCTCCTCCTCCCCGATGTCGCCGCCGCACAGGTGAGTCCGACTTCGCGGTCGTGGGACTTCAAGACGTCGCTGGACATGTGCTGCAGCCTGGTTACCCTGACCGAATCGGATGGGTATTCCTGGGAGGCTCTCCTGGGTTACTGGGTGCGAAAGCGATGCCAAGTATTGCGCCTTGCCTTGGGAGGTTTGGAACGAGCCGGGTCCGAGTCCTGTCGCCCTGTCGAGGGCCTGGGGGGCTTTCGAGAATTCAGAAGTTCAGAGTTCAGAGTTCAGGTTTCGGATTCAATAGCCAGCAATGATTAGTTCATATTTCATATCCCATAACTCATATCAAAGATCTCAGATCTCAGATCTCAGAGTCTCGGAACCACTGACTCAGGGACTCAGGGCTCAGGTCTCAGGGCCCACGGATTCCAGGGGCCCCGGGCCCCAGACTCATTCTGCGCCTTGTGGCCTTAAGCCTTGGGCCCTGGGCCCTGCGCCATGCTCGGACTCCGAATTCCTTTGGGGGGGGGGCCCAGGTGGCGTCTCTCCACCATCGGCCGCTGGCCGAGACACCGAACTTAGTGAGGATTTTGGGCGCGGCGGCTTCCAGGAAGTTGTGGTCCCCAACTCATGGGCCGGACGCCGGCATCCCGATGGACCCCTTGATGTTCTTCGGCCCGGACGTCTCCAGCAACGGCGGCGACGAGGGGAGCGATGATGAGTACGATCTGGACGACTTAGACGATGAGGACACCAACGAGCTAGGATTCGAAACGTCGTCTCACCTCGCTTTGGATTATGTTTTCAAGGCTGCGAGGAATCCCAAACGTAAGAAGCCGAATTCAGGCGGCGCGGCCCCAGCAGCGGGGCCTGCCCTGGGGCCTGCAGCAGCGGCCCCCGAACCCGGGGCCCATGAGCCCCACATCGAGCTGCGAAAACAAATCGGCCAGTTGCATGTTATTAAGGACGGGGTCCCACAAGGGAGAATCTCGTACCCCATCCACTGGAACCCACCTTGTTTTTGCGCTAGCTGCATCTGGCACGAAGACTGCCGTGTAAGCCTGGAATGTTCTGCAGAAGCAGAGGGGCTTCTTATTCAATGGTTGTGCATGGGTTCCGCTGCGGTTTCCCAGGATGAGCACTGCGAAATGAAACCCCCCACAGGCCGAGTTCTTCGGAAGAAGAAGGCTCCGGCAGGGTAGATGTTAATTCCTTAGGCGTGCCTTGTTGCGTGTCTTGTGAGAGTGTCCAGTGTTGAGCAAGACTCGTTCTTCTTGCGTTACTTCCTGGCCGCCAGCCAGCCAGTCTTTCCCCGGAGTTTCCGGCTCTCGCCCAGTGCCCCCCCTGCGCAGTTTTCACCGCGGTGGCTGCCAGCAGCGGGCCGCGGCTGCGGGCTGTCAGCGGGCCGCCGCGCGCGGTCGACATTCGATTCGACCGTCGACCAGCAAGAGCCAGATGCAGACATTGTGAATTGTGATTGACTTGTGATTCGTGACAGCTGCAGCAGCGGCCTTTAAACCGCCCCTGGTCCCCGTCAGTAGCCTTCGACGCTCAACCCCGGTCTGGCCGTCCAGTGTCTTGCACCATCCGCGTGCTTGCGTGTCTGCGATTTTGGCACTCCCAGGGGCCTCGGGGGTTCGGGGTTTCTTGGCGCTCAGGGCCTCCCAGGGTCCATGGGTCCAGTCTTGGGTCGGGGCTCTAGGGGCCCGGGACCTCCAGAGGTTCTCACGGCCTTGCGGGTCCGTGGGGCCCCATAAGGCCTTATAGGCTCCTCGTCGGTCCTCGTCGTCGTCGTCGTCGGC